AGGCCAAGTTCAAGTAAAGCCTTTTTACTGATAATTTCTAATCCCTCACTGTTGCCTAGCAACTCGGAAGGAACACTGACCCTGTGCAAAGAAATACTGTAAAAATGGGTGGGGCCATGTGGTGTTACCTAGCAACAGTTTCGGCAATGCCATATAAGGAGAGACAAGAATCTCCAATCAGTTTCCACAGACTAATGAATGAGGGTTTTAGCTTTACTGCTCTGGAAAAAAAAATAATATTGATAATACAACTAACAATAATATTAAATGACTTACTTGGATAGATCAATAAGAGCAAGTGATACATAGGAGACAGCTTTGGAGTCCAGTACATTATTGATGGCTAGCAGTGATAACTTGTAATAGCTCTCAGCTCTACCTATAATCAGTACAATCTAAATATAATTTCAAAATGCAAGAAATTCCCAAATCGTGGACATGTATATACATGTACATTTACATGCAAAAAACTCCAAAATCGGACCAAACATCCTGTACTATATAGTACAGGGATTTTGACCAAATTTCATGAAAAATTGCAAGGAGAGAATTTACCATTTTAATATTTTTTCCTGATACATATACATGTTCTTATGTTGCATAGAAAGTTTGAGCTGATTCTGATGAAGTTAGGATTTTTTATGAATTTTTAAAGTTGTTCAAAAATCGGGCCAAACACCCTGTACTATAGTACAGGGATTTTGGTCAAATTTCATCAAAAATGGCTAGGAGAGAATTCTCTATTTTTATAATTTTTTTCTGATAGATATACATGTACTTATGCTACGTAGAAAGTTTGAGCTGATTCCGATCAAGTTTGGATTTTTTATGAATTTTTAAAGTTGCTCCAAATGCCATGTACTGTATTGTAGTGCTTGTCAGCTCATGAAACTCTACCACTCAATTACAATTCTCAACTATTCCTCCATTACCTTTCAAAGCTGGTACATAATCATCCTGCAGCTCAAGGACTCGTGTGTAGCTGGCAACAGCTTCAGATAATAGACCAATCAACTGTTGCATAGCTGCTACCCTAGTACATGTACATATGTACATAGAATGGAATATAATATAATGTGTATAGACTGACTGGTATTGTGAGAATATGGACTGTGGATTGAGCTAAGAGGATAAGGAGAGGAAAGAGAGAGAGAGAAACAAAAAGAGGAAGAGATCACTATATTGTAATGTACACATGTACTTCAGTTGCTTTTTCAAATGCTTTCATTGCTGCAATGTTACTACCTCTTGAGAGATAAGCCTCACCTAAACACTCCCATACATTGCTACATGATACATGTACGTACATGTACATAAGTGGGCGTGACATTAATAGGCGTGGCTTACCTATCAGAAACGTTCTGATGCAAAACTTTCAAATAACTATAAAATATACGACATCGTAAATTGTACATGTACATGTAGCTACCATTTAATAGCTTCGTCATATTGACTATGTCTTCTATGATATAGTCCTATTCTAAGCCACGCCTCTCTCACCCTGTAACCAATAGCAACCACACGTCATGTTAAATCACTTACTCTGTAGGTGGAGAATTTTCTGTAATTTTGACATAAACTTCATAAGCAGATTCCTGTGTGAAGTATTAAGTTAATAATTTTAGTTAATAACTAGCCACACCTCTTCACCCAATGCTGACAGACACTCCCCTAATGATATCCCTGCCTCAGTGAGACCAGGATTAATAGTAAATGCCTTTTTATAACATTTAACAGCACGACTGAAGGAGGAAAAATAGAGAAATTTTAGGAAAAATAAAATGTATATGATGAAACCTACTTGATATCATTAGCAACGTATCTCTGATAGCGTCCCAGCATATTAAATACAGCTGGGTTATAACTATCCAACTGACCTGCCTGTGATATAATAGAAAATAATAAAATGCCACATGTACATGTACCAAAAATTATATTATATTCCTACCTTCACCAGTGAAGGATAAGACTTTGTTCTGTTTCCATTATACCAGTCAGTATAACCAGCCCAATAATGATACTCACTGAGCTGAGAACACTCATTTATAGCTAACTGAAAACTAAAAGGAGCAATGGAGATATAATTAATACTATGATGATTCTACAAGTACATACTTGTCATGTGCTTGATCGAAATTACCTCTAGCCACAAATAAATGACCCTATAACAGCAATTACAATAATATTATTATTATTATTCATGATACCTTTAATTCATTCAGTATTCCTTTCTCTTCGTTCAGTGAGGAAGCTTTATCATTAATAATCTAAAAATATAATAAATTCATAATAAATCCAGTAAATGTGTATCATGTACTCCTTCAGCTTCATGTATCATTCCATTAGCAATGAGAGCCTTAACGTACAGTTTGATCACATGACAGTCACATGACTCACTGTACAACTAGAAAGAAGAGAATACATGTATAATGTACATGCAAATAATGGTCTTTACTTTTTCACATAAAGTCAATGCCTCTTGTTTATGATTACCCTCTAGGAGTTGAGCCTCAATTAATAAAAGACTGATAGGAATAATCAAATGAGATACTGTACATCCACAGGCCACTTACTGGAATGAACACGTTACTTGTCTCCGTATGAAACAAGGCAAACTTCCCAAAGCTTCTAATCCTAAACTAATAATAAATTATAAACCACAGTACATGTACATGTACCTTTCCAAGCATTATTAATGACAACTTCATAGTTGTGTGCCTTCATGTGGCAAACACATGATACGAACCAGCCCTCACAGGAGTCTGGTGAAGAGACTGTTCCTATGTAAAGTCAGTCACATGATCTATCATGTGACTGTATGTACCTTTACTGGCTAGTGTGCAAGCTTCTTTTATTTTTCTTGATTGTAGTAATACCAAACAATGAGAAATGAGCCACACTCCTTCTCTCTCCTCCTCCTCCTCTCTCCTTTTGTTCAGTAACAGTGTTATTGGGATAAGATCCTCTTCAGTTAGTGGTTGAATGGACAGTACTAATATACCAGTGATGAAATAGTGTACATGTAGTTCAGAGTACCTTTTAAACACTTCCATATCTCCAGCTGGAGTAATGTCTCTTGGCTCTCTTTACTTTCTAAGATTTCACATTCCTCTTGTACCGTCTTCAATAAACTATCAATCACTTCTTCATCTTCCACTAACTACACAGTACACATTATACACAGAGTAATGGAGTGTGTATCATATATGACAGTTAGATACATGCACATGCAGTGACATAAGAGTGTTTACTATGAAATACAAATTTTCAAAGTTTTTTGGGATCAGGTTAAGTCCTTCCCTACCTTAATCCATTCCATGCAGGAGCTAATGAATAATGTTTGTATCTCTATCCTCTTAGTCTCTGTCAGAGAAGAAAGGAAGGATTTATAACTGCCTTCAATTAGCTGCCACTGGGTCTGGGAATATTGAGGATGACGTAGTAGGAATAATAATGACCTTTCAGTAATGGAACCAGAGGCAGAGGGAGAGACTAAAAGATATAAATAAGCTCTAGCTGCCTTGAGAGAGAGAGAGAGAGATGAAGGGAAAGAAGAGAGAGATGAAGGGAAAGAAGAGAGAGAGAGAGAGAGGGAAAATGAAGATAGAGAAGAGGAAGGGAGGGAGAAAAGAGACATTATGTACACAGGGATAATGTTCTTACCTTTTCTAATTGGCCTACATCCACATATAATGGAGCAAGTTTACAATATAAATTGAATTCTTTTTCTCCATCTCTACATAATGAGAGTATCAAACATGATAGTCATATGATGGTCATAATGACTCACCCAGTCACAGTGTTTAGTATATAACTGTAAGTCTTTATTGCTACCAACTTTTCATCTTTATCCCCTGGGCTGTACTTATCATACAAATCTGCCAAGCCCTAGAAAAAAAATTAAAACCACAATAGCTAAAAATCGAGCTAAAATGTAATTGCATGTCTATTACCAATTTACCATTACAAACCCAGAACCCTCACAGATCTACATAAACTATTTACCTTCCAGGCCAGTATTTCCTTCTCATTAGAGGTTATTGCTATCCTGTACTGGTGTCTGGCCTCTCCTATTTCTTTCAACAGTAAATGAGCTTTACCACACAACACATGAGCAAGGTAATGAGTGTCATCATGCCAGAATATAGCCTGTGATGAACAAGACAACACATAATCAAGAAAACTTGTTATTTCTACCTGACACTGTTTGATAGCCTCAGGATAGTCTTCTCTATCTAGAGCAGAACGAGCTGATTTAAGAAGAGACTTGACCTCTTTACTGGCAGCCATACTTATCTAATTAAAAACGTGGGCGTAAGAACACCTGGCCACGCCTGGTTTTGCCCCATTATGATTGGACATACTATAATATCTATGAACATACCTGGTAGTATGACGGTTCCCGCGACCACGCGGCAAAATGGCAAAGCAAGAGCTCATCCTTCCAGTCAACGCAGCTATGGTTACAGATAAAATGGCAAAGCAAGAGCTCGTCCTTCCAGTCAACGCAGCTATGGTTACAAATGGTATTTGTCGTGCAGATGGAAAACTTAAGAAGCGTGATGAATTGCTCCATAGTGTGGATATAGGAGAAAAACCCGAGAGCAGCTTTCAATATCAGTCTGAGCCTACTCAGTCAACTGCTCCTGATGAAGAGAGAGTGGTTATCTCAGGGCTGCTTATGAACAATGTCAATCCTGAGGAAAGGATAGTAATCCTGGGGAACCTAGACAATAAAGAGATTGCAGAAGAACAAGAGGAGCAGCAGGTTGTAGAATTCAACAGTTTTCCTGCTGAGCACATTGACACTATGGAGGAGCTGACACCATCAGATTGCATTGATACCACTTCACCAACTGTTCATGTTTGGCCATTCAATACAGAAGCTGGACCATAGCACTCCCATTATATTTATAATTAGTTGTGTGTGCATATTAATAAATCTACTTGTTTCAACATCAGTTTTGCCTATACATGTACATGTATCATGCTAAAATGAATATCATACTGAACAAAGGATGTGTGGTTGCCACAATGCCAAAAATTTTCTTGTATGATCAACTAAAGGCTAACAGTCAGTACAGTGCTGTTGATTGATAGTATGAAACTATTAGTATCACATAGTGCATCTATACATACAATCCAATCTCTCTCTACCATCAGTTCCAATATACGCCTACATAAAGCAGCACTAACTGAGACTGACCACCTATTAATAATACAATCACATAGTTATAGACCATGTACAATGAATTATTAACCTTTTCATTTGGTAATGAATTAAGATTCTTAATAGAATCTGGCGAACATACATCAGCCAGTAACTACATATAAATAATGGCTTACAAGCATTTGCTCTAATACTGTATTACCTGGTTAACTATAGTATATGGTACAGTAGCAATATGAGAGGAAGATTCTGTACCCAAAGTCACTAACAGTGGTCTAAGGCATTAAAATAGAGATATTATGACTCTACACCTTGAGCATTACCTGAAGTATCCAATACATGATACTACAGAAAGTACATGGAGAAAAAAAAAGCAAGCAACTACAAACTGATGTTCACTGTATGTGTAACTGACCATCAATAGATTTCCCTGAGCACTGAGTACACAAGCAATATACTCCATTAGCATCCTGCAGAGGGAGGGAGAGAGAAAGTGGGGGAGAAAGGGAAGCAGAGGGCATGTAAAATTGGTCATCACATGTGAATGTGTATAATTATGTACTTCAGAAGTTCAGACAAAGATTGCTCAGATTTATACAATAATTATAAGAAAAAATATTGGCCCGCAGGGATTGTGGCTCTCCTATAATCACCACAAACTCTCAGTTTCCCAGGAATGCAAAATCTGGAGTTAACCAACCTACAGTGGGGCCCATGCTGTATAGGCTCAATAGAGCTTGACTCTGTTTACAGAGTGCAACCAAACGTTCAGCAGCTTAAACCAATCGAGGTTATCAAACAGGCTGCAACAAATTTTTGGTTATCTACATACGTACTGTATGTTTAAGTGTTTTGTTTATCTATAATACCTGTATAGAAGCTTTACTGCACATTCCACAGCCAATATAAAGGCAAGCCTCCACCAAATGGAGCTAATAAAAGGGAAAGAAATAGAAGAGAAGAGAATAAGATGCATATATCAGTTGTTCTGCTTACCAACTGATGATAATCAATCTCATTATTGTCAGTCTTTCCCTTTATGCTACACAAATCAAAACCATCATTACCTGATTCCATTATAAACCTACAACACATATAGCATTACTATTATATTAACAGCTACTACATAAAAAACCTCATTGAAGTTGCCTTCGCCTTCACATGATACATCCCTGAGGACCGTACCTCATTCAATTGAGGTACACTAACAAACTCTTTCTCCTCATTGAGCGAGGAAGCTTTATCATTGATAATCTAAATATAATATAATAAATTCATAATGGAGAGAGAGAGAGGGAGAAAGAGAGAGGGAGGGAGAGGGGGTGAGAGGAGTAATTTTTGATTGTTCACTTACTAGAGTGCATTGCTATTACTCCAAGGGCGTTCCAGTGAATGTGGCCTCTCGGTGATAGAGTGATTGCATTTTTAATCAACTAAAATGTAAAACATTAATAATTAAAAATAATATCAATATAAATACTTTTAACGAGATTTCTAAATATTCCTTTATCGTCTTCAACCTAACATCATATTGTTTGTTTATTTATTTATTTAGTTGTTGTTGTTGTTTACTTTTGCTAGGTGGTAATAATTAAGTGCAAGATTATGAATAAGATAAGGAGATTTGCCATCACACAAATGAAGACTACACTTGTATGATCTTTAGTACACAAAATATCAACATCATTAAAGTCTATTCACTTTCACCTGACCTATTGATTTTTTATAACTTTTGATAAACATGGAATTTAGAAATTTTGTTTGCACCATTAGAATCGCTAGGTCCTTCCCATCCTTTAGATAAAAAGATCGGGTCAAAATGATAAGGCCTTAGCCTTTTTTGGATGTCCCTGTATAAGCTCAATGACATACCTTTGACCACAACTATGCAGCTAGAACAGCCAGATTAAATTCAGCTGCTACTTATCTGCATCCCTTCCGTGCAACAAAAACAATTCCAAAACCACAAATACGTAAAGAATGCGGATGTGACGTAGTTATTTATTAATTGAAAAAAGCCAGGGGTCAGGTGAAAGTGAATAGACTTTAGTTTATTATCAAATAAATCGATTCTAACTAACTTCAGCCCAAGTTCAAGTAAAGCCTTTTTACTGATAATTTCTGATCCCTCACAGTTGCCTAGCAACTCGGAAGGAACACTGACCCTGTGCAGAAAAATGTTGTGAAAATGGGTGGGGCTACGTGGTGTTACCTAGCAACAGTTTCGGCAATGCCATATAAGGAGAGACAAGAATCTCCAATCAGTTTCCACAGACTAATGAATGAGGGTTTTAGCTTTACTGCTCTGGAAAATAATAATAATAATAATAAATAAATAAATAAATAATAATAATAATAATGATAATAATTATACAGCTAACAATAATATTAAATGAGTTACTTGGATAGATCAATAAGAGCAAGTGATACATAGGAGACAGCTTTGGAGTCCAGTACATTATTGATGGCTAGCAGTGATAACTTATAATAGCTCTCAGCTCTACCTACAATCAGAAAAATGTAAATATAATTCCAAAATGCAAAAAATTCACAAATCGTGGACATGTATATACATGTACATTTACATACAAAAAAACTCCAAAATCAGACCAAACATCCTGTACTATTAGTAACGCGGTAGCGTTACTAAGTAGGATTCACCCCACTTCAAAATGGCTGCCACGACTTTTGCAGCCTTGCTATACCGGGAAAACGAGCTCCTATGCTTACCAGACTTTATAGAGGACCTCATCTTGACCAGAGGACTCCATTGGTACCACTAGTGTGGCTCTAAACCTTGTCTGAGAGGAAAGCCAAAAATCCGGAAAACGGCCGTTTTGTTCAGCCACCTTTTTTCATCTTCATCATCATCATCATCAAGTCCTGTCAATCCAGTTGTCGGTCTGTATCTCAACTTTGCTTGGTGATAGAAGGCTAATTCTTACACCATTCTACTCCAATAATGCATGCGCAGGTCCCTATTCTTTATGACAATTCTCCAACAAAGGAAGAAGTTGCACTGTCACTGCTGGATCGGGCCCATCTTAGCTGCATGCCGCCATTTTATTAATTAAAGAAGCA